ATAGATTAACATTTTTAAAATATTACATTTACTAGGCAAAACCTCAGAAGAAGGCCTAGGAAATCACTGAGGAGCACAGGAGATGGGGCAGCCCCAAGAGTCAATACTGGAAAATCTGTTCTCAGTAGAGAGTCTGTCCTACAGGTGCACCAACTCCCTAGTTTCAGGTCATCAGCCCTACTGTCAGGTCACTTTGAGCACAACCCTCCTTCTGTGTTTGCCTGTTTGCTGGAGAGAAGTACCCTGGAAGCATCATAAAGTGAGGCCAGGAAAGGGCTATTCAGGCTAATGTCAGGACAGGGTCCCCCCTACACTGGCATGATTCTGGGCTTGGAGGAGCCAAAACGTGCCACTTTAGGAAGAGGGTAGAATTAATGTGCATAATACCCCTACTCTGCCATTTTCACATATTGAAACTCAATAAAGTATTTGTATTATTGGCAGTTTTAAGAAGCCTATGTGTGGTTAATTCAGTACTTAACAGTTTATGGCTAAATTATACAGTAGGGTTTTGAAATGTGTTAATGCTTCATCAATCACATATACACTTTTTTAGAGCTGAAAATTACCACACCTCATCCATGGTTCTTGGGCCAAATCAGAGGGATTCTTTATGTGCTAACTGCTTTTCTTTCATTAAAGTGCTGAGTATGAATAATGAGATGTAAGGGGTTATGCTGGGTGTTAGCACTGAAGACTGTCTGTCAGCCACTGTGAGAATATTAGCCTACTCTCAAGACACCCAGGATGTTTGATCTGCAAGCAGAATAACAGAAATTGCAATAAACCCTCTTCTTTTTAGAGCTAATTTCCATTGCAAGTAATTTGCTTAGCATTATTTAACACTCTTCTTTAGTATGATATGGAGCAAGGCAGGGAGGATATGTCAGAGATAAGTTAGTCAACCTAAACAACCTAACGTTTACGTCATTGCTGCCATTACAGTAGTCCCCTCCTTATCCACAGGGGACACATTCCAAGATTCCCGGTGGATGCCCGAAACCACGGATAACATCGCACCTTATATCTATTTTTTCCTATGCATACATACCCATGATGAAGTTTAACTTCTAAATTTGGCACAGAGCTTAACAACAATAACATAATAAAATAGAAAATTATAACAAATACTGTAATAAATGTTACGTGAATGTGGTCTCTGTCTCAAAATACCTTACTATCCTGCACTCACTCCTCGTGATGATGTGTGATGATAAAATGCCTATGTGATGAGCCGCAGTGAGGGGATTGACGTAGGCATGTGATGTAGCCTTGAGTTACTGCTGACTTGACCTTACATCAGAAGGAGGAGCATCTGCTTCCGGACTGAGGTTCACCGCAGGTAACTGAACCCGCAGAAGGCGAAACCGCAGATAAGGCAGGACTACCGTACTTATCACTAAAAACAAAGCTGAGCGATTTTCAGAAAGTTTGCCAGAGTTGAGGAGAGCTAGACTCCCTCATTAGCCAATGAAAGAATCGTTCTTAGTTGGCATTTGAATCTCCATCAGACATGTCTTTCCCCTCCTGCATTCTCATTTTCTACTGGCTCCTGAGCATTCATTTTCTGCTACATAATTTCCTCTTACCTATAACTGCCTCCCTCCCTCTAGGTCTCTTTTCCTCTGTCTTCTGCTCACCTCTGATTACTCACCCCAGTATTTATCTTTATCATAACCTTTATCTTATAGGGAACAGGAGAGGGGGTCTGACAGCAGGGAAACACCAGGTGGAGATCAGCGTTTTAAAACAGCTCTGAGCTGCATTGCAAAAATAGGGGAGAGATTAGAACAAGAAAAATCAGTGGGGAGGGAATAGCAAGGGCCTGAATTAGGACAATAATGACAGTAAAGGCAAAACAGACCAGATTTTTTTTTAACATGATGAAAGCAGACTTAACAGGATGTGGTGCCTGGCTGTAGGTCAGTGATAAAGAGGAGAAAATGAAAACTAATGTGAAGTGCTCTAACCGTGCCGGCAGGTAAACACGGCTCCCTTCACAGAGATGAGAAACTAAGGCAAGTGATCAGGTTTGAAGGAGTTGAGGTGTTCAGGCTTGGACAATACAGAGCTGCATTTAGGGGTGATGTCCAATATGTCAATGGACAATCACTATTCTAAATGGACAGGAGAACTTCTCGATTTAACAGGAATTGAGATTAAGAAAATTCTCCAACCATTTTCTCCTTTACCTCCTCTCTTCATTTTACTAAAACAAAATATGTGTTGAGAAGCTACTGCATGCCAAGTCCTAGTATAGGCATTAGTGAGAAGAGAGAAAAAAAGTAAACAGTGTCTGCTCAGGGCATTAGCAAGCTCTGGCGGGAGATGACACCATCAGAGCATATAGTGCTGAGATGAGGTGAAGGTTACCTGAGGAAGCTTCATGGAAGGGGCAGCATTGATCAGGGATGGACTATGCTTACTTACACTAGGTTCATTAACTCACCTAATGCCTAGAGAGAAGAACACATGCTTGCTGCTTCCCTTCACAGTCTGGACATCCCCTGCAGTTTCAAGCAGACTATGAGACAGATTCCTCCCCAAAAACAGTCACAGAGACTTCACTGCACTCATCCACATTCCTTCTGTGGAAGTAATACTGTCACTTCTTTGTGGGAGAACTTTTGTTAATTTTCTACCTTGTATGTCTTGGTAACAACGTATTTATAACCAACTTCTGGAATGCTATGCAATGCTATGGTAGAGGTAAAAGTTTAATCCTGAGTCTTGTGAACTCTCTGGAATCTACCCACCTAGAGAAAAAGCTACCCCCCACAGAATACAGAGACTGAAGCATCCTGATGGAGATTAGGGTGCTTAAATTTCAGGCTGACCCAGCAAGTCTACTCCTAGGCATTTACCCAAAGAGAAATGAAAATGTATGTCCACAGAAAGATTTGCATAAGAATATTCACAGAAGCTCTACTTATAACAATCAAAAACTAGAAATCACCCAAATGTCCAACAACTGCTGAATGGATAAACAAATTGTAGTATATCCATGCAATAAAATATCACTTAGCAGCAATATAAAGGGATGGACAATTGATAAAACAACATGGATAAATCTCAAAAGCATTATATGTGAGTGAAAGAATGCCAGACTCGGAAGACTGCACATTCTATGATTCCACTTCTATGAAATTCTAGAGAAGAAAAAACTCTAGTTCTAGGAAGCAGATCAGTAGTTACCAGGGGGCAGGGGAGTGGAGGAGGAGATGGACAGCAAAGGTGTACGAGCAGTGTTTGGAGTGATGAAAATATTCTCTATTATGCAGTGGTTACATTACTGTGTACAGTTTTTAAGCTCATTGAATTGTATACTAAATTTGGTAAATTTATGTAATTATGCTTCCATAAAGCTGATTTTTTTTTTTAAATCAGCCTGAGCTGAGGAGTAGGCCCAAGCATTCCCAACCAGAAGATGCCAATGGCCCTTGGGAAGCTGTATGAACCAGCACTACCTCAGCCCTCTGGCTGCTACAGCCCTAAACAGAACTCCTCTGCTTCAGTGCTTTAGCTCAGACCATGACACCCCCTGGCTGCTGCAGACCAAGGCTCCTGATAACTCATGCTCATCTTGCCAGCCAGCCTAGGGACCAGAGAACCCTGCTCACCCAGACGACTGATCACAGATAATCCTAAACCCCTCCTGCTCTGGACTAGCAGCCTCAAAAATGGCAACACTTTATCCTAGAACTACTGACTGGGGAAAATACCTGGTAAGGATTACACTTTAAGGAGGCTCACTCCTTGGAGCCTGGAATATAGACTCTGGGCCCTTCTGTTATCAGGTTCCTAAAGGGCAAGGGGCTTGTTTGTTTGTTTTCTCAACATTGGAAAGTAGAGTTTCTCTATAGCTATCTGACTCCCTAGGGTTCTACTGAAATCTTGCTTCTCCATTATCCCTGTGGCTACAAACCTAAGGCTGATGCATGCCCACATCCTGGATGTAATTTGGGAAGGAAGAACATAAAACAAATCTTCACTGCAACAGAGCCCTTATGTCTGGGAGAGGTCCTGAGTCAAGACATGTACAGAAGATTTGTTTCCCCATCACTATTCACTTTTTCCTTCACCCCATTTACCTCTTTAAGCAAAATACAAGTCTGTAATTCTGGAATAACCTGATGTTTAAGTGCTATTTCCAGAGTTTCAATAACTACTAATAGAGGAAATTTGCACCAGACACCTTATCAGAACAGTTTTTTGGTACACTTGATGTCAGATGAAGTAAACTTCCATTCAGTGTGTGTCTGCATTGTACCAAACACAGTGCTAGGCTATTTGATGTGCTGGGCAAGTTGAGTCCTCAAGATAATCCTGCTAAATTACATATACCATCGCTTCTTTGCAGAAAAGTTCTCTAAGACTCAGAGAATAAGCAACTTGCCAAACTTATTTAACGTTCGGCTAGCATAGAGTCTGAATCTACCTCTAGTACTATTTGATTTGCAAACTTTGCTAAGGAAAAAAATATTTCGGGAAATTACTGTGGTTTAAAACTTGGTTTAAACATTTTTAAGGTCCTGGTTTTGACCTCAGGCACCTGAGTGTGGACCTCAGGCACCTGAGTTTCCTTCGATGTTACTTTCCTCACCTGTAAATGATGAAAATAAATCCACTTCACTGAGCTTTGAAAGACTCAAATAACATAATCCACACAATAAGCATAATAACTATAGGCTATCGGTATGATCTCAAATGCCAACCTGGCTCTAAATGGAATAAATACATGTGTGTGGGGGGCGGAGTTTGTGGGTGTGGGTGTGCAGCTAGACAGAGGTTGAATTTCCACCCCATGGATCCTATTTCACTCTTCAAATCATCGTAAAACTTTTGGTGGGAAATAAGTAAATATATATATCCTGCCTTCAATGAGTTTATAAGGACCATCTCTGTAAATTCATGTTCTCTCTTTCCCCAGGCATCTCTAAAAACTGATACTTGACCACAAAACCCTATTCCCAAACAGCCCATGCGCCCCCTTCACTCACCTGCTCTGGGTACTTGCTACCAATGATCTCTGCTACAGTGTTGAAGGAATCAGCATCTGGGTAGTTCTTTGCCGCCATCTTCAGCTGAATAACAATTCTGTTCCCACGAGAAGCCATTCTTGACATCATTTCTGCATCTTCCACTGTAATACAAGCTGTTGGGATTTTTGGCACACCATCTTGGTATTCCTGAATACCTGTGTGAGGACTTGAGAAAAGAAGCCACCAGGTTACCTTAAAAGTAGAAATGGACCAAAAGTATTTTTTAAGTGTCTGTATTTGGCATTTAACTCTCACTGATCTTTGTTTGCATATGAGATATAGGATGGGTGGGCAATATTGGTTTATTTGCTTTTGATGTGAATTTTCCTTTTTGGTAAAAATAACTTAGAAAGTTCAATTTAATGGTCATCTCATTGAAAACATTACATGAAATTTATTTTGATAATTTGATGATCCTTTAAAGTTGCAAATTGCCTCAAACTCAAAAGAACATTAATAGCACCTTCACGACCAAGAGGTGAATGAACACGTGTGTTCAAGGAAACAAAGAAAGCTCTGAAGTCCATCAAGGCTACAGACCAGAAGACCCACACCTCTGGGAGAAAACTGCCCAAATACATCCAGCTCTCTGTCACAGACTGGTTCTGGGGATACTCTCTTCCCACTCAAACACAGAGATCTGAACATGCAGCCCTGCATTGGTGGTAGAATGCTTTTGCAGAAAACTGTAGAACAATGGGAAATATTTGTGTTCCCATGAAGAAAAGTGCTGCATAAACCCCAGTCCCTGATTTTACTGTTACAAGAAAAAGAAAACTATGATAATTTTGGCACTAGAAAAGAAACATTACCCCAACAGTCAAGTTTTTCCTGGTAATTTCCAGATGCTTCTTAGATTACTAGAAACACTTGTAATTAAAGTTTCTATGAATCTATTGTTGATTCAACCTCTATGCATGCTAATTGAGTTTATCAAACTCATTTCCTAAAATTGCTCTGTCAAGCTGTCCCTTTTCGCTCTTGAGGTAGGACTCCAAAGCCTCCCAAACCACAACCTCCTCGGGACCAAACTGGCACAAGTTTCAGAGTGTGCACCACACCCTATCAGCCCATTCCCATCTTCTGTGAAGGCACAAGCTAACTGCCTCCCTCTTAAAAGTAATTTTTCTTTTCCTACTTCCACGTTTGTTTCAAGTTACCTCACATTTGCACCCTTTCTCCTTCTCTCAGCCACAACACATTTCTCTCCTATAGAAGTGACTCCAACCTCCACATGCATAAACATGACAATCCAGTCTTATCACTGCTTTCTTGGTGTGACTGCACAGTTGTGACAATATGTCTGGTGACTACTTACTTACTTAGAGAAACTGCACAGCAAAATGATTAAGAACAGAGACCGCGGAGCAAAACCATCTAGGTTCAAATCTGGGCTATGGCACTTATTGCTAATTGACCTTGGGCAAATTATATATACTTGCTTCAGTGGCTTCATCTATAAATAAAAGTGATAATAATACTTAACTCACAGAGTTATTTTGCAGATTCAATTCATTTATACAAGTGAATCACTTGCCATGAAACCTAGCACTCAATAAATGCTAAATATTTATTTTGTTAACTTGTCTATTACATTATCCCTGCAGAGAGAGACTGTCTAATCTCAAATGCTTAGCACCATCTTAGCACACCCTCTATGAACACTTCTTAAATGGTAGTCTTCATCAAGAGAGAGACAAATGACTTATAAACTCAAAAACTGTAATACAGAAACCCTAAATCTCAATCCCTACTCTGGAATATGCCTAATTCACTCTAACTTCTGGTTCAGAGTGGGCCATGGGGTCATATAACCTAGGTCTAATCCTGGCTCTACCATGACATGAAGCAACCCACATGATCTCTCTGTTTCTGAGTTTCCACATCTATAAAGTGGAGAATAGTATTAGTATTGACTTCATAAGATTGCTGAGGATAAAAGATAGTATATATAAAGAATTTAAAATGGTATTTGGCACATTATATTTAGTAAATATTAGTTATTATTATTTCTTCAGTGCAATTTTTCCCAATGAGTCGGTACAGTGATTAATGACCAAAAGTACTTTGAAACATGTAGGAAAACAATCTAAATATTTATTGTTCAGATTACCTTACATGATGTCTGGGATTCAACAAATTCTCCTTGTTCTCAGACTCTTACTCAAGAGGAGGTCAGTGTAACATTTCTCAACAGGTTCTTTTTTTTAAGTTTTTATTTAAATTCCAGTTAGTTAACATACAGTGTAATATTGGTTTCAGGTGTACAGTATAGTGATTCAACACTTCTATACAATACCTGTTGCTCATCACAAGTGCACTCCTTAATCCCTATTAGCTATTTAACACATCCCTCCACCCACCACCCCTTTGGTAACCATCAATTTGTTCTCTACAGTTAAGAGTCTGTTTCTTGGTTTGCCAATCTCACTTTCTTTTCTTTGCTTTTGCTTGTTTATCTTGCTTAAATGATTTTCCTGAAGAAATTTGTACCAATAAGTTAGGGTAAGCATTCTTAAAGTGGGGACAGTAAGTTGGGCATGCACCCATGACTCCAGGGAGGAAAACAGCACTAAAAGGCATCTTCCAACTATGGTTCTGAATTCAAGATATAAAAGCCTTTGTAATTTGTTTCTGCAATTAAGAATGTCCTCCAGGAGTGCAATCCAGCACTGTTTAGTAGAAGTAGGAAGAATGAGGACTCAACACTTTTCTCTGGAGTACTGTACTTTCACTGCCTATTGTTCTACAGGGGATGATCAGCATTAAACACCACCTTCCTGCTCCCATTTATAACCCCACCTGCAATTTAACAATAGCAAAGGGTAAACTATAAGGAAAGCTATAAAAAAATCAAAACGATTATATTTAAAAATTAATACCAATTCTTTACAAACTCTTCCAAAAATTTTAAGAGAAGGGAACACTTCCCAACTTACTCTACAAGGTCACTATTACTGATATTAAAACCAAAGATATCATAAGAAAAGAAAACTATGAACTAAAATCTTTTATGAATATAAATGCAAAAAAATCCTCAACAAAATATAAGCAAACTGATATCAGCAACAAATGAAAAGGATTATACACCATGACCAAGAGGGATTTATCCCAGAAATGCAAGGTTGGTTTAACATCCAAGAATCAATCAATGTAATATATCATATAATACAAAAGGACAAAAGCCACATGATCATCTCAATAGATACTAAAAAAGCATTTGACAAAATCTAACACTCCTTCATGTTAAAAAAAAAAAAAAAAGCTACAGGAGCAAGAGAGGGTGACGCTGGTATAAGGATAGACATAGATCAATAGAATAGAATTTAAAGTCCAAAAATAAACCTTTAAAAGAATGGTCAGTTCATATTCAACAAGGGTGCCAAAATAATTCAATGTATATAGAAAAATATTTTCAAAGAAATGGTGCTGGGGTCAACCAAATATCCACATGTAAGAGAAAAAAGCTGCACCCATATATCACAACATATATAAAAATCAATTAAAAAATTAATTACAGGGGGCACCTGGGGGGCTAAGTTGGTTGTGTCTGACTCTTGATTTTGGCTCAGGTCATGATCTCAGGGTCATGAGATTGATCCCTGAGTTTGGCTCTGTGCTGGGTGTAGAGCCTGCTTAAGATTCTCTCTCTCCCTCTTTCTCTGCCCCTCCCCTCCTCCCTCTCTCTCTCTCTCTAAAAGCAAATAAAAATAAAGATAAAAATAAAAATAAAATAAAATATTTTAAAAAAATTAATCACAGACCTAAATGTAAGAGCTAAAACTATAAACGTCATGACTTCAGATAATGAAATTATTTCTTAGATACAACACCAAAATCATAAGCAACAAAAGAAAAAATAGATAAATTGAACCATGGAAATTGTAAACCTTTGTATTTCAAAAGACACCATCAAAAAATGAAAAGACAATGCACAGGATGGAAGAAAATTTTTGTAAATTGTGTTCCTGATAAAGCACTTATATCTACAATATATACAGTCTACAATATATAAAAACTTGAAACACTGTACATTATTGATGGGAATGTAAAATGGTGAAGCCACTTTAAAAACAATTTGACAGTTCCTTAAAAAGTGAAACATGTACTGCTAGGTATATACTCAAAAGAAATGAAAATATATATTCACACGAAAACTTGCACACAAATGTTCATAGAAGCATTATTCATAATAGTCAAAGGTAAAAACAACCCTTATGTCTATCAGCTCATGAATGGATTAATAAAATGTATGTCCATACAATGGAATATTATTCAGCAATAAAAAAAAATTATGTTCTTATACATGCTGCAACATGGATGAAACTTAAAAACATTATCTTAAGTGAAAGAAGTAAAAAAAGACCACATATCATAAGAGTCCACTTACATGAAATGTTTAGATAGGTAAATCCGTAGAGGTAGAAAGTAAATTTTAGGTTGCCTAGAGCTGGTTGAGGGCAAGGAAAATGGGCAGTGAATGCTAATAGGTATGGGGTTTCTTTGGGGGCTAATGACAATGTTTTAAAATTAATGATGAGTGTTGTACAACTTCATGAATATCAGCTCTCCTGATTCACCAGCTTGCTGGCTATAGATCTTGGGACTTCGCAGCCTCCATTATCACATGAGTCAAGTCCTCATAATAAATCTCTTTATATATATATATAGGTTTTCTTTTTCTAAAGAATCATGACTAAAACAGCCACAATGAGTCAAATTTCTTTTTATTTGCAGCCAAATATATTCCCAACATTTGCAATGACCAAAATAGATAAATGATGCATTACATATTTAAAAATTATAAATATTAACCTTAAACCTTTCTTTTCACAAATATACAGCTTCATATCAAATAAATACATCCAAATTAAAATTACCGAAAGAAGCCATTATAAAGGATTCTGGGAAGATAGTGAAGTAAACCTGCCCTGTAAGAAGTACAACTGACAGAATGGGAGAAGATATTTGCAAATGACATATCAGATAAAGGGCTAGTATCCAAAATCTATAAAGAACTCATCAAACTCAACACCCAAAGAACAAAGAATCCAATCAAGAAATGGGCAGAAGACATGAACACACATTTTTCCAAAGAAGACATCCAAATGGCCAACAGACACATGAAAAAGTGCTCAATATCGCTCGGCATCAGGGAAATCCAAA